TGACAGTTTCACGGTATCTGTGGCTGAACAAGAAAACACCCAGTCTGGGTTTCAGTAACCAGTCTGATTTGTATGACAGTAAGACAGAAGCCTTCTAGGAAAATGCCACGCATGGAAGGGTATAGAAAGCATCCCACCCTCCAAACCAGATGATCCCCTGGGTTAGCGTAGATTCATTTCAGGTCTGAGCTCCTAACCTTGGAGTGATCTTGTAGCTTTGCCCATCGCATACATCTTGTCTTCTCCAGTTCTATGGGTTAGAGGACAAGAGTCACATTCTCTTTCCCTAACGGGGTCCCAGAGGGTCCCAAACCATGACGTGTTCACAGCAGGCACCCAAAAAATGTCCATTATCAAGACAGATGATAAGCTTTCTTATGATGGAATCTTAGCCCTTTCAGAATAAGCAGTAACTCTCAAACATATATACTTTTGTCATTTTTCTGCCTCATTCATCCAATTAAGTTTTTGCTTTGATATAATCCACCTCATTTCCCTTTCTGAAGCTAAGCATTAGCATTGGCCCTTAGATGGACTTAGAATTGCCACTCATAGAATCCTTTTTCCGTTTTTTTTTTTTCCCTAGTGAGAGATGAATCCTCTTATTTTTCTAACCCCAAAGCCACTGATATTTGGCCCACTTTCTTTAATTCAAGGCATCCATGACTTTCTATTGCCAAGAAGCCGTGATTGTTGTTTGACAATCCAAGTGCATTATCCTGAGGCTCTCTGGTGAACAGAGGTCCCTTAAAGATGCTACAAATAAGCTCATTGTCCAATGGGCCAAGGCAATGGTATGAAGGAATGATTTGCTTCTATGTGCTTCTCAGTGCTGTTTAGTTTGATATTTTATCCTGGAAAATTCTTCACCTATGGGTCTAATAATCTGCATTCCTGGGAAGAATTTGGAGTTGGATATATAGTTCCCATTAGTTACCTAGAATTATTTCTATTGAATACAATGATGAATAAGGGGTCTTATACTCTAGGAGCATCCAATCTCACTGGAAAGATTTATATATAAAAATGCATGTTAATTATTCCATATAAGGTCATACAAGTAGAGATGGAAAATAGGAAAGTGGGTTGGACCAATCCACTCTCCAAATCATAAGCTTCATAAACTTCATGGCAAAGGAAAGTTGCTATCTGTAACTAGACACTAAATAAAGCAATTAACTCTGCAATAACCTCCTCCAGGTATCCCAAGTAAAATAGCAGCCGTTCAAGAGGGTCAACTAGAAGGGGTCTCATCCTGCCAGCTGGAAATCCCTTTCCATGCTCTAATGCAGGTTTGGACGCGTTCCCAGGGCACTCAGCGTACTCTAGGAACATATGAGAAGAAAGCAGGACAGTGTGAGTCATAAGGGGGAAATGTAAAGACCACAATCTGGGCAGAACTTCCTCTGGGGCCCAAATATGGCAATTTCAAGCATCCCCTTTCTTCAGCATTAGTCCTGGGGTCAGCTGGAGGCTAAGTCACAAGGAAGGCTCATTGGCCTAGGTGCAGGGCAGGTCCCACAGCTTCAAAAACCATGACATCAACGTGGTTTTTTTGAGGAAGGAGCCATGGCTACCTCCTCCTCCTGTCTTACGTTCCATAAACCTTGCACAAAAGAGTAGTGGAATAAATTTTTATTAATTTCTGTTTGGGTGGAGAATTTGTTGAAAAGGTAAATTTGAAATTTAACTATCCAGAAGAGTCACATCCCTTATCCATTTCCAAATGCTGACTTGGGCCAACTTTGCAATATCAGAATCACCTGAGAGAGTATTAATATGTAGCCGGTCCCACAGTGGGAGACTGTGATTTGGTAGGTCTGGGGCAAGACTCTAGAATCTGCAATTTTACAGTTATTCTGATCCCCTGCTAGATTTAGAAACAACTGTCATGCTATAGGCAGCTTCTGAGAAGGTCCCAATGGTCTGATAGGATCTTCTGTATAATCCCCTCCTATACTGTACAGGGTTGGTCTTTGTGGTGAACTGAATTCAGTGGAAATGATGGAAAATTACTTCCGAGATTAGCTCACGAAAGACTGTGGTTTTCTTTTGTGCTCATACTCTCTCATTCCCTTTTGAATCACTGACTCTCGGGGAAAACAACTACTGGGTCTTGAGGATTTTTGGGCAGCATATGGAGAGATCATGTAGATGGAAACAGAGGGTTCCACCCAGAAATAAACCCACACTTATGTGGACAGTAATCTATAAAAAAGAACCATGAACAAGCAATGGAGAAAGGAAAGTCTCTTCAACAAATGGTGCTGGGAAAACTGGACCACTAGCTCACAAAAGATACAAAATTTAACTCAAAATGGATAAAGACTTAGAACTAGGACATGAAAGCAAAAAAACACATAGAAGAAAACAGTAAACCAATCTACAACGTTGGCTTCAATGGTGTCTTTGGGGACTCGACTCCACAGCAAGGAAAACCAAGCAAGAATGGGACTGTATCAACCTAAAAAGGTTTTGCACAATGAAAGAAACTATCATTAAAATGAAAAGATACCCTACTGAGGAGGAGAAAATATTTGCACATCATACATCTTACAAGGGGCTAATGTCCAAGATCTACAAAGAACTTAAACAACTCAACAAGAAAACAAGCAGTCCAATTAAAAAACAGTCATGAAAATGTTGGCGAGGATGTGGAGAAAAAGGAACTCTCCTGCTCTGCTGGTGGGAGTGCAAAATGGTCCAATCACTATAGAAAGCTGTGTGGAGATTTCTTAACCTACTAAAGATGGAGCTTCCATATGATCCAGCAATTCCACTCCTAGGTATTTACCCAAAGGACACAGAAACATTAATTCAAAAGGGCACCTGCACCCCTATGTTTATAGCAGCACTATTTACAACAGCTAAGCTATGGAAACAACCCAAATGCCCAAAAAATAGATGACTGGATCAAGAAGATGTGGTACATATATACCATGGAATATTACTCGGCAATCAAAAAAGATAAACTCATGCAATTTGCAGCAACATGGATGGAGCTGGAAGGGATCATGCTCAGCGAAATAAGCCAGAAAGAAAAAGAAAAATACTGGATGGTCTCACTCATAGCAGGAATTTAGAAAACCTAAATAAGGGACCAGGAAAAAGACTAATTGCAATAAAGTAAAAATCAAAATCAACAAACAACTATAGACCAGAGACATATTACAGTGGGGGGCGGGGGGAGGAGAAGAGGGATTAGGGTCAGAAAAAGGGGGTGGGAATTGTATGGGGAATATAACCAAAATGAAAATGCATACATTGTGCAAAAATGAAAAATGACGTAAGAATTTTATAAAATAATTTATAAAAAAAAATAGTCATGAGAGCTAAAGAGACACTTCTCCAAAAAAGACATACAGATGATCTACAGGCACGTGAAAAAATGTTCATCATCTTTTATCACCAGAAAATGCAACTCAAAGCCAGACTGAGAGACCATCTCACACTTGAGACCATTATCAAGTGAATGGACCACATCAAAAAAGACCAGAAACAACAAACATTGGTGAGGGTGTGATTTAAAAGCAGCCCTGGTATACTGTTGATGGGAAGGTAGACTGGTCCAGATCCTATGGAAAACAGTTTGGAGATTTCTCAAAATATTAAAAGTAGGGCCTCCCTGGTGGAGCAGGGGAATGCAGCACTATGAAGCTATCCGCAGTCACTGCAGCATGAGTTCGATCCCCTGCCGGCCAGGGAGCTGACCCACATGGCTGACTCCTGACTCACCCACTGCTCCCCTCAGCAGTGTACTCCAGTCGATCTGCCTGTTCTGTTCCCCACTCTGTCTCTGGTGAATCCTCTCACCCCCCACATCTCTGGCCTGTACCCCAGCTCTCGTATGCATAAATAAATAAATCTTTAAAAAAATATTAAAAGTAGGTCTACCATCTGATCCAGCAGTTCCAGAATGCAAGAACACTATTTCAAAAGGATACCTGCATTCCTGTGTTCACTGCAGCCCTATTTACAATAGCCAGGTTATGGAAACAACTTAAATGTTGTTGGTTGGATTGGTGGATTAAGAAGATGTGGTGTATACACACAACGGAATTCCACTCAGCTATAAAAAAAAGATAAACTCTTGCCATTTGCGACAACATGGATGGAACTGGATGGCATTAAGCTAAGTGAGGTAAGTCAGGAGGACAAAGACAATACAGATGATGTCACTCACATGTGGAATATAGAGAAACAAAACAAAGGGTCAGATAAAACCAAACCAAAACGGAACTAGGACTCTGACTATAAAACTGAGGCCATCAGAGGGAGTGGGGTAGGAGGCCAAGGACTAGGGTGGAGGACTATGAGTGCTTTGGTGGTGGGTGTGGGGTGATAACTTACATCTGAAGAGGTGCAAACCTGTACCTCTGAATCATGTAGCGCTGTAAACCAAACTTACTTCAGTTAAAAAAAGAAAAAGAAAAAAAAAAGATATAGATATAGCAGATACCCAGAAAGAAACTAAATTCTGCCAACAGCCACGACTCAACGCAGTAGCGGGTTCCCCAGCCCAGCTGACATCAGTGATGGCGTGAGACCCAACAGAGTCAGCTGGCTAAGCTGTTCAGAAACTGTGTCAGATAACAACTGTTTGTTCTCTGAAGCCGCAAAATCTGGGTGTAATCTGTTACACAGCAACTGATGAGTAATACATTTTCCAAGCCCAGGAAACAAACTCCTGCCCAGCGTGCAGAAAGCCTTTCGTGCCACCTTTCCTGCTTCATTCCACACTTCCAGATTCACACTGTCCTGCTGAGCAGTACCTGCCTGCTCATCCCATTCACCTCTGTGCCTTTACCCAAGCTGTTCTCTGTGTCTGCCATGTCCGTCCCCCATGGATGGTGCCCACTCCTCCCCTCAGCAGCTCCTGCTCCAAATCAAGGTCCCCCTCCTGAGTAATCATACGCACTTCTTGGTATGAGTGGGTGCAAAGAAGTTAGGGGGTGAAGGAAAATAGTCACACGAAGGAGTCATCAAGGGCACATGCTTGCCTCTATGTGGTTCATCAGTGAATTGTCAAATTTGAACCCAGGAATCCTTTTGTCGCTGCACACCACACCCACATCTTCTGTGTGCTTGCAGTCGGTGACACCCCAGCCATTGGAGGAGCAGGCTGCGAGGGTGGCCTCTTTGCCAGTGCAGTGGACATTGTCCAGCCAGATGGGTCCTGCAGGGAGCAGAGAAAAGAGCAATCAAGCACCATGTTAAGGTAAATGTGAGTCTTTAGGGGCATCAATGTCTTACATGGGAAGAGAATTTTCCTCTAATGTGGGCAGTGGGATATGGCGATTGGTGGAGTCTTTCACACATGGAGATAGTGCATCTAGCTCTAGGCCTTCTGGATTCCCCTTGGGGATGTGGTGGATGGAACGTGATTAGGATAGAAATCAGGTTTAAGCCTGGAAGTCACATGATTTAGGGAGAAGAAAAAGGACTTTCAACACTTAGCAGGGTTTGAATGCTGGTCCAGCCACTTAGCTGTAGGACCTGAATTTCAGTGATACAGGATCCAGAGGTATTCAACAATGGTGATGATGATGATTTTAATGCCCCCAAGGAACTGCATTCACTTCTTATGCCTTAACCTGATTGGCACAAAGGACCCAATTCAACAAGCAAGTGCCAGAGGGTTAACCATAATAGGGTGTCACTCCTGCCTACTGGAATAGGTACTACCCAAAGACAGAAAATAACAAGTATTGGAAAGCTGTGGAAAAAGTGCAACTTTGTGCACTATTGGTGGGAATGTAAAATGGTGCAGCCTCTATGGAAAGCAATTTGACCATTCCTCAAGAAATTCAAAATAGAATTACCATATCATCCAAAAATTCCACTTCTGGGTATATGCCCCAAAGAATCAAAAGCAAGGTCTCCAAGAAATATTTGCATTACAGGATTATTCACTATAGCCAAAAGGTAGAAACATAATCAATAAATTATGATAAATATATATATATATATACACACACATGGGTACACACCGCACTGGAATATTATTCAGTCTTAAAAAGGAACTTCAGACACATTCTTCAATACATTGTGCTAAGTACAATAAGCCAGCAAGAAAAAGATAGATACTATTTGATGCATTATATGAGATATCCAGAGAAGTCGACTTCATGGACACAGAAGGCAGATGGTGGCAGCTGGGCTGGATGGAAGGGGAAGTGGGGAGTCGTAGTTGAATGGATGTAGTCTCAGTTTTGCAAAAAGAGAAAATCCTACAAATGGGTTGCACGACAACATGAACAGAATCGCTGAATTGTGCAATTTGCTATATGTCTTTTACAATTTAGAATTTTGTAAGGTGTTAGAGGGTTCTTGAATAATGGTTTTTATAAGTGCCATGACAGAATGAAAGGGGAAAAAAAAATCAAGTGTTTCATTTTTCTCCTGGCTCCCTTTGGGTCTCTGTAGCACAGGAGAGTCAGATGACCTGGAGTCAAATTCCCACTGCTTCCTTCTTGGGACTGGTCAACTGCTTACAAGACCTATTTCCCATTTCTGAGGTGAAAACAATGATACCCCACACAGGTCACCAAAGAAAGTCAGTGAATAATGAATGTTCAACCTTCCTTCCCTCTGCTTTTTTCCAGTAAGTCAGAAAAACATTGAATTCCACTGCTTCCAGAAATGCTGCAGGAGAAAGCAGATAAAGACACTCCCATTGTAGAGAAGAGAAAACTAGGGAGCATTGGGGCCCCTTGAGGTCAGGGAGGATGCGGGGGTCAGCCTCCTGCCTATGAGGTACCCCTGAAACATGTCTACTTGAGGAATAGCTGGTCCGGTCTCAGATGAGGGGCCTCAGAAAGACTATGGGGAACAAAGAGCTTACAGAAAACATCTGGGCTGAGGTTTTCCAACTGGTTTCTCAATTTGGCCTAGTTTCCAAGTCGTCAAGCTCGGCTGAAACATATGCTCCCTAATCGCTTGCCGTTTCAACAACAAACCGATGTTTGTCTTGTTAAGTACTAGCAACGGAAAAGACCCTCCACATTTGAAGCGGGCCTCTTCCTGGAAACACAGTGCATCAAGGCTGCTGAAGGGCAGATCCTGCAGGCCTGCTCTACTTTTTGATAGAGGAACACTTGAAACCAGCACCTTGCAGTGCCAATGGCCCTAAGCCACCCCAAGGGCTCTCCCCTGTGTGGCATCAATAATCTTTTCTGTATTTCTGACAGTTACTTTTTCTTATGAGACCGAAATGCAAATTTCCACTTGGCCCAGGCTAGAACCACCGTGTATGGTATACTTATTTGGCCTGATTTCAAGGCAATGTTTTTGGCTGCACGATGCCTATCAACTATGGTCCTGGTTGCAAGGCCCGGCTTTGGGGGTCTGCCTGCCGGGATGCAAGCTGGTTCTGGGCTCGGGACTGCTAGGAGAGTGGCACTGGCACACCTGGGCTCAAACCCAGGGCACAAAGAGCCACCCAATCAGAAATTATCAAACTCCACTTTACTCTGTCACTCATTTACTCCAAGAAATGTCTCTCCTGATGAAAGGGAAAGAAGGCATATCAGGGCCTTTAGAAGATAAAGATCACAGCTGAAATTCCGTTTGAATGCCAAAGTGCTCCCCTGGGCTGTGGTGGCAATGAAAAGTGTTCAAGTGAGAATCCTCAGGGCCCACTGGCTTTGTTCCTCTAACCTGAAGACATAAGGGTGATCAGTAGTGGAGTCAGAACTGATCTCAGATCCTGAAGAGAGGTAAAGGAGACCACCTTCTGAGGCCCACCTAGAGGGTAGAAATAGGGTGGCTGTCCCTTTAGAGCCCTCTAATAGGGTCCATGACTTCCCTGAGCTCAGAGATGTTTCAGGAAAGGGACCTGCTGACAGGCGAGGCTGGAAAACCCAGGAGGACTGAGGGTGCTCACCCAGGCTTCATTACAGTCTGAACTTGAGAGGAGCAGATGACAGTGAGGAGGGCCTCCTCCCAGCTCAGCTGCCACCATCCCCCTTCGGCAAGACTTGCTGGTTCAACCCCATGGGAGCAGACCCAGGGCATATTCCCTGGTCACTATGCACCTATTTTTAATAACCTCCCACATCAAAAAGAATAACTCAGTGCCCACCATGTACCATGTACCCAGTGCTAAAAATTCTAGATTGACGCTGATGAAATAAAAATTCACTTATATTTAAAAGTGATGTAAACCAGTTTATATGGACAGCATAATCATTCAAGCTCTGGAGACAGGACTTTAATGATTTTTAGCATCTGTGTCTCCCTTCCTCTCTTTGGTATTCCTTTGCCAGGTCTTGATGGTTTCAAGAGCCACGCATACCTTAGCCTTTACTCACTGTATGTCTCCTCTCTGATGAATTTCCGCTACCTACCTTCAGTCATCTCCCAAGGTCAGGGCTTAGATCTTGTCATCACCAATAATTGCAACACCTCTCCAATCTCCATGCCAGCCCTCTACCCTTCATCCACCTCCCCGCCCCCACCAGCATATTCCTCGTATTGCAATCTCAACAGAGATCCATAATTAATCCATTCTAGCAGCTTCCACAGCCCGTCACCATCTCCTTACCCAGTTTGGACCCTGTGGACTATAATTCTAATTTATCCCTTTCACATTCCCTCTTCTCCCTTGAACTTTCTCGCTTTATCAACCCGGATGGCAGTCTGCACCACGGCAGTCTGCACCAGGTGAACCCACCTCTCCAGCTGCCTCATGCCTGCTTCTGGGCAGATGAATATGGGATGGGGAAAAACACACCAACTGTGTCATGACAGGTAAATTTTAAGTTTGGGAAGAAATAAAGTTGTCACTGAAAAAAAAAAAAACAACCTCATACACATTGGAAAGCACTAAATATAATTAGGTTTAGAGAACCTGGAATAGAAAATATCTATCTGACGTTATCCCTGGATAGTTCCAGTAGCAGAATAAACAGAGATGTGGAAGTATGGAGAAGAGTCTGGAATTTTTGTGAAGAAGACAGGAAATGGTTTTAAAGGCCCCACATGTTAACTCATCTTTGCTGTTTTTGCTCTTGTCACTGCTAAGGGACCCAGAGCCAGTTTCAGACAGAGAACATTCTACTCGAAGCGTGGTCTCTTAATTCCATTACTCAAACATGAAATATTCAGTTGCACAGAAGTGAGACGTGTACTATGTCATTTCCTTTCTACTATAATTTTCTAGAATAACAGAAAGCAAGGGTTGGAGGAACTGTAACAATGATCTCTTCCACTGACTCCCAAACTTGGCTACATTTGTAATCACTTGGGAAGATTCCAAAGTTTTAGAGTCTCAGACTCCAGTCCAGACCTTTCCAGCTGGACCAGTGAGGGTTAGTATTCTCAAGAGATGGTTATATACTTGGCGGGGCATGACTCTCTTAGCCCAGGATGGGTTTGGTCACCTCTGCAGCCAGAGTCAGGCTAAGCAGCAGCCCTGCCAGGTGCAAGAGGTACTTGCTTTACTAACTTGGAGTTGGGGGGACTCTTAGCTCCTGGATCTGTTTTTAAATATTTCCCCTCACACTTAGGGCATAGCTCTGAGAGTTTCAGTAGTTCTTAGAGACTTCAACTTCCATGCAGGAAAACTGAGGCTGAAGAGGATAAGTGTCTTCCTCTAAAGCAACAGTTAGGTCAGCACCAGGCCTGAAGTCAAGGTTCTGGGCTCCAACACCCACCCTCCATCAAAGCACTTAATAAAATTATTTTTTTTAAAAAAAATTGGAACTTGACAAGAGAGGAAAGACTAGGCCAAAGGTGAAAACCTCAAAGCAACTCTGCATAGCCAAGGTGGAAACAGCAAGTCAGCGTTGTATGAACTCCGCACAGGCAACAGGGCGGGAGAGCTTGCCTACAGGCAGCCTTGGTGACATAGAGCAAAAGGTACACCTTGCCGGGAGTGACTCGGGGAAGCAGAGCTGAGCACAGATTGCCTGCAGCCCCCACCAGGGACCACCAATGGGGGCTGGGAAGTCCAGGGCCACACAGGAGGGCTGGGCACTGTGCTCCTCCCTAGCACCCCTCTGCTCCAGCTCCCTGCACAGACACAGGAGGTTTCGCAGAGGGCGTATTATCAAAATTCACTCTTGACAGTAACCATAGCTTGCTTCACCAGGTCGCCATCAGGTAAGACTGTTCCCGGGCGCCCTGAGGGCCATCAGCACGCAGTCCAAGCACAGGGTTTTACCTTCCCCCTTGCCATAGGAGGAGCTGGCGGTCCAGGACTTGGCCTCCACGTAGCCCAGCTCACGGCAGACGACGTGGGCGGCGTGGATGGTGAAGTCGTCGTCACACACGGTGCCCCACTGCCCGTTGTAGTACACCTCCACCCGCCCCTCGCTGTGCTTCCTCTTCTGCCCCGCCAGGCGCACCTGAATCTTGACGATGTCTGAGGGCACCTGGGGCCGCTGGTACTCGGGCACGGGCTGCTGGAAGTACTCAGGGTAGTGGGGCCAGATCTCGTACTGTGCCAGGCTCAGGCAGGGGAGGAGGGAGAGCACAGCTAAGCAACTGCAAAGGCGGAAGCCCCCACGCCTTTCCATCCCTGCCCTCTGCTGGAGGCTCTGACCGAGGGGCGGGCGCTGGGCAGCTAGGTGGGACTGGCGGGGGTTCCTGGAAGAGAGGAGAGAGGCAGGTTAGAGAGTCCACAAAGCCTCCTGTGGTCCCACAACCCTTTGTTTAATATGGAAAGTTCTTCACCTTCTAGACTCCAACCTCATCTTCTCCCACCTGGCCCTTCAGCCAAAGAGATCCGTGAATTCCCAGATCTCTGAAATGTTTTTTTGGGGTAGGACTCCTGGCAGGCAACAGAGTCTACTTGAACTTCATTTGAGAAGAGTTTTGAAGAAGACAAATTTACAGAGGTGTGGGCAGAGCACAGGCGAAGGAACGAAGGAGAGTGTAGACCCCAAGGCTGGCAGAGAAGAGAGCCCGCCCCTCACAGCCTGCAGGACCCAGAAGAGCATGGATACCAGAACAGAGGGACGAGCCACTGCTGGGAGCTCTGGTCTTCAGCACCCCAGCAGGGAAGGTGGGGAGTGAGGGGTGGAGTAAATACCTGACTTCACCAACCTCTGGGCTTCTAACCTTTTTTTGATGCTATTTGTTGGGCAAACCCAACCTGAAGCCAAGACTGTGGGTGGAGTCCATCCAGGTTGGCTTCCTGGGGCCCAGCGGGTGGTGGAGAGGGAGGACAGGAGGTCGAAATGGAGAGCAGAGGGTGTCTAGCACACCCGCTCCTTCTCTGCATATCTAGATATGCAGCTCCTGTGAAATCCTACCCGCTTCATGCAGCCTTCGACAGAAGCACCTCGAGATCCTTCACCTCAAAAAGCTCTCGGGTGTCACTGGAAATCCAGCCATTCCTATCTTCAGACACACAGACAAAGCCAGGAAGTTGGGGGGTGGTCTCCTGTGCTAGCCCCCTCAGACCACAAGGAACAAACTAGTAAGGAGCCTTTGAAGGGAAGCATCATGGCCTCCTCTGCCCTAGCCACGCTGAGTCAGCCCAGGTGAGAGCCCAGGTGAGAGCCTACGTGAAAGAAATGGTGAGCCAGTAGGATGAGTTGCTCCTGTCCTATTTGAATAGGGGGACTAATTCGTGTACCGGGAAGCCCTGTCCAAGCCCAGTACACTGACCACCAGACAGCTTGATAGACAAACTGTTAGATCCTGACTAATGATTATCCCACAGTCTCCTGGAGGGAGAAGGTAGAGTGTCCACACAGTTGGAATGTAACCCATCTGCGCATGCCCAGGTGTAGCCCAATCCAGACCAAGCTATGATACTGCTCCCCTCCCCGTCTCATGTCACACTCATCTTCCTGGATTCTCCAAGAGCACTGGAATGGCCAGCGTTCAACTTCTTAATCTTTCCTAGAAAAGAGCGCCTGGATTTTTTTGCTTATTTAGTGGAGTCTCCTCCTACCCCTTACTCTGGGGGATTATAAAATATTAGACCCAGATGCTTTTCTCTTTCTTTTAAAAATAACTTTTATGAGTTTTTTATTGTTGTTTCATATTGCAGAAGTTATACAAGCTGGTGATAAAAATCTGGAAACAAATAAAAGGAAAGAAAAGAATTTGCTATCCACTGTTAGAGGTAACCATCAACAGTACTGTGGTGCACACCTTCCAGTCTTTTTTCCTGAACATAGTTTCTTTTAAAAATTGGAAATGTTTTCTATATGCTGCTTTGTAAATTACTTTTCACATGTAACGGTATGACGTAAACATTCTACCTCACTGACTATTTTTTTACAAGATTTTATTACCCTATATTCAATCCTATGGTTGCACTATAAGATTGAGTCATCTTATTGCTATAAACATTGTTGAAAATATCCTTGTAGCTGAAACTTTTCAGCTTTGGGATTAATTCCCAAAAGTATAATTGCTTGGTCTAAGAGTATGTAAAAAGCCAACACTTTTGCAAAACTACTACTGCTCCCCAGAAAGTGTCAATTTACAGGCCAGCCAGCCATATGTAGGATTCCCCACAACCTCAAAAATTCTAACTATGGCCTTCTTTTCAAACCTTTCTCCATCTGATAAGCAAAAGAGGTGTTTTGTTTTAACCGGTGTTTCTCCTATTACTAGTGAGGCTGAACTCCCCACGCCCATGCTCATTGGCCACCAGTATTTTTGTTGGAGATATTCTCTTCCTGTTTTTTAAAAGTGTTTATCTTTCTCTGATTGCTTTGTACAATTCGATTTTTCACTGACATTCTTCTAACCCTCAGGAGCAGAAAAACTGCCAGACAGAAAAGCCTATTCCAAAGCAGAGCTTGGGGATGGACAACAAATACACTGAGGTTATGCCCCTGCCATCTGTAGGGTCAGGAACGGGCCACTGAGCAGGTTTTCTGATCCAGTAGACCGGGTAAAGGAGGAGTCAGAGTACTCAGTGGTTTTGCAGGTTTTTATTGGGGTTTACCAGGCACACGGCAGGCAGGGGTGCTGAGGGGCCGGTAGGCTGGCAGGCCTCCCAGCCCCCAGCAAGTCTTATCTCTCTCTCTCCTTCTGCTGCTTCTTTCTCGGCTTCTCTTTCGGCTTCTGCTAGCGTCCCTATGACACCACCCTTAAAAGCCCATTCTCAGCCCAGGTGAATCCCATCTACCTATGCCCACACCCTACTCCAGGTGCCCGCATCATCTATCCTGATGGCAGGAGGGCAGAAAAGCCTGACATTTTTCCTTACCCTACACCATCCCTCTTCACAGGGGTGCCTTCAGTCTGCCACCCTCTTCAGAACAGAGGCCTTGCCTGCTCCTCTCAAGCGCCCTTTAAGGTCCTGCACTTCAACTGTGGGTCAGGCCCCAGCTGGAGCTGCCATTCCCCGCCCACACAGGCCCCAGGGCCAGCACCTGTGAGCCCAAGAGGACTTGGGGCATGCATGCTTCTCGGGTGACCAGAGACCATGCATGGCCTCGGTGACTGGCCATTTCCAGCCTGGCCACAGCCCTGCAAGAGCCACTCAGCAGGCCCAGCTGCCTTCTGCTGCCCTCTCCATGAACCAGCTGTGGTCAGGATGGGGCCTACCAGGCCTTGCCAGGTTCTGTGGCAGATGTCCCCTTTCTGCTCACATTGTTCTGGTGGAGGAGGTGCCTTTGGTGAAAGGGTAGGGGGAGACTAAATTAAGCCCTGGGCCTAACACAGTTCCTGGCACATGTTGGGTGTTTAATAACAATGGGTTGGATAATGACAGGGTAGTGATAGCTCCCAGTAGACCCATCCTCATTCCTGGGGGAGGTGGGGGAGGCGCGGAGGGGGCTCAGTAAACCACAGGCCCTGTGAATAAGAGTCACAATTTTGCTTATCAACAACAGCACAAAAGCACTGGGACAGAGAACTGGGCAGAAGTTTGAACATGTGTGGTTAAGTTGGCACATGGGTGGGCTTTATTACAACTAGAAAATAGTATTTTGAATGTAAAATAGACACTGGATTCTGACCTGTGATAAAATGTATTCAGCTAATGAAAAACAGTGGCAAAGCAGAGCAGAAACCTGATTATTTCATTCTTTTCCCTGGGATGGGGGCTCCATCTTGGTCCCCTGTCTCCCCCAACCCCAGTTCATCCTATAGAGCCACAGCTTTGATCTGTCTTGAGTGCTTATGTGAATATTCAGTTGTGAGAACTCAGAGGGGAGAGTGATAGACTTGCAGTCAAACCTCCAATGAGAAAGACCCCTCCCTATGCTTATTGCCCTGTCTACAAATAATGTCTTTTATACACATGTTTCTTCCAGAAAGGATCATTAGGACATATGGAAGCCATTTTTTTTTTTTTTTCATGGAACAATTGCAAGGTTGTTGACTTACTTTGATAACCTGTGAACTTAACCTCCTAGAGCAGGGGATTAAGGTAAAGGGAGCAGAAAAATGTCCTTCATTCTTGTCCCACAAGAGTGGAGAGGCTAGGATGACCTCCTAACTCCTGCGATCCATCTCCTTGGTCAGTTCACAGAGTCATTAAAAACTGTTATGTAAATAAGAAGTAGTAGCATGATACTTAATGAGTATTTACCTAAGCATGTACTATGCAGTCAAGTAGAACTAGCTGCTGTGGGAGGGACATGCATGAGAAATGGGAGGCACTCACATCACTACTGGCTGGTCCTACCTCCCCACACAGAATGTAAATTGTGTTCATTATTCTCACTGCTCTCCTGGGTTGGCCCTATCTCCATCTGGAATGGCAGACTTAGTAGGTGAGAATTTACTCAACCCCTAAATAGTGTGCTCAGACTATGGGTCATGGACTTGAGAGGTCTGTGTGAGTTGGAGCAGAACAGAAAGGACCATCCAGAAGGGAATGGGTGGTGCCATGGTCACATGGTAAGGAACAGCAGGGATCGAACGAGTGTCTCCGAAGTTCAATCCAGGACTCCTCCCACATCAGCACAGATGTCTGGAGAGACTGTGGAAGGAAGGTAGCCTTGAGCGGGGCTGTGAAGAATTAGGGAAAGGTGGAGATGTGTGGGCGAAAGAAAACAACGACATTACAGCAATGGATGTGGGAATGAGCAGTCAGTGCAGGGACAGGAAAGGGATGATGTTTGGAAAACACTGAGAAAGAAGGGCAGGTGGACACACTCTCAGAGTAGGAGAGGTGTTCCGCCAGCAAGTGCACCACATTTTACTTTACAGGTGAATGAAAGGGGAACTGAGAGTTGAATAAATTGACCCGTGACCAATAAATAGCTCAATGGCTGATACTTGTTAGTCTCCATGGGGCCTTCCGATTCGGCCTCCTACAGCAGGCTGTCTGTGCTATCTCCTCGTTCTGACTCTAAGTCAGGTTCCAAGTTCCTGGCCGAGGTCAGCATGCAGGGGACAGGGCCACAAGATGCACTGAGGGGCTGTGACAGGAGCTGAGATTCCTAGTCTTACCCGACCCCTGCTGCTCCCAATCTCCACTCCTCAACTGTGTCATGAGGAGGCGGGCTAGGACAGAGAAGCCAAGAAAATGTCAATTTGTAGGTTAAATTCAACCCACCAGTGACTGCATCAAGACCCAAGAGGCAAGAGTGTGGGCAGGGGCTTGCGGTTTGGGGGTGATTAGGGGGTGGCAGCAGATCTGCTGGGTATTTGCCATTCTGGACTCTGAA